AGATGGTTCTGCTCATCAAAACAGCCACTGATGCCCTGATGAAGAATCTGAATGTCCACGCTGAGTCAGGAGAGGCCTTTGACATCCATAGGTAAAGCAAAAATTAAAATAATATTTTTTTGTGTTTTTTTTTCTGTCATTGTTCATATTTTTCTGATAGCATGCCATCTTTCAGATACTTTGGCTACTTTACCATGGATGTTATTGCCAGTGTGGCATTTGCAACTCAGGTGGACTCGCAGAACAACCCAGATGACCCGTTTGTCCAACACGCTCAGATTGCCTTCACCAATAATTTCTTCAGGCCTATTTTGTTACTTTTCTGTGAGTCATTATTATAAAATTAATGAAACTGAGATATGTAAATGGGACAATAATAAAACAAGATGAGGGCAAAGAAAATAAAAAGTAATGTGGGGAATTCCTTAAAGTTATAGTTAAGCATGATAAATAATTCTATGTATTGAGTATGAAGCATTTTTGTTGATATACCTGTGTATGCAGTTCTCTGCTGATTTGTGTGTTTCTGTCTTTAGTTGCTTTTCCCTCCATCATGGCTCCTCTGTCGAGGTTCATACCCAACAAAAGACGAGACAAGATGAGTCATTTCTTCATTAACAGCATTCACAAAATCATCAAACAGAGAGAGGAGCAGCCTCCTGAGCAGGTGAATCTCAGATTTTCAACATTCCCAAATCTGTGCATTGCTTTGAAAGAGTCCTTTTCCTTTCATTTTTATTTATTTCTTTTACACGTACAGGCGTAGAGACTTCCTTCAGCTGATATTAGATGCTCGAGCCACTGAAGAGTGTGTGTCATTGGAGCACTTTGACACATCAAACGATGCTCATGAGACTGATGTCAGGAACCAGCAGACCCAGTCTTCAGGCACAGTTCAAGAAAACGGGAGCCAGCAGGAGCCGTCTGTCAGGTGTCCACAGAAAAAGATGATGACTGAGGATGAGATTGTTGGTCAGGCTTTCGTCTTCCTCCTGGCAGGCTATGAAACCAGTAGCAACACTCTGGCGTTCACCTGCTACCTCTTGGCCCTCCACCCTGAATGTCAACTCAGAGTACAGAAAGAGGTGGATGACTTCTACACTAGACATGTGAGTGTTTTACAGTTGGTTCTGATCTATTTTGATTCATGCAGTTGTGGCCAGTCATTGATTGTCATGCTGTTTGCTTTGTAGGACTCACCTGATTACACAAATGTGCAGGAGCTGAAGTATTTGGACATGGTTATATGTGAAGCATTACGCCTCTACCCTCCTGGATTCAGGTAAAGAAGGATGTCAATTGGATATGAAGGTTGGCCACAGTGGGGCCTGGAGTAGTATGCTGTGACTTTGGAAGATTTTCAGTTTTGGCTTTTTTTTGAAACATTCATCAACTGTTTGTCTCAGCTAGATAGTGTAGTAGTAAAACTACACACTTTTGGAGCAGGAGTTGCAAGTTCAATTTCCACCCATTATTCATTAAGGGTCCTGGCTAGACTCCCCATGCTAAAACAAAAAACCCCAAAGCCCTCGAATGGCGCAGCTACGTTTGCAGCCTGTCCGAAGCTCCAATGCAAGCATTTCACTACATGTTGTACTCTTTATGATTGTGTGTGTGACAAATAAAAGTTGTTTGTTTGTAGCTTTTCATGGGGTATAGCCATAATCCTATCATCGGTAAAAACTCTATCGTCATTATTATTATTATTATTATTATTATCATCATCATTATTATAATTACTGACGCGGTTGCAAGATCCAACATTAGTGCATTTCAATAATACAGATGTTTTCTGACTTTGGGACGTTAAGGCTCAGGTTCTGTTCATATTTGGTTGCAGATGCATTAAAATATGTTCAGTAACTATCAGTACACTTAAACTCATCTTCCTTAAATGGACACAAGTACAGAGAAACAGAGAGGAGGACATGACCGCAACTATAAATGACAGCTAAAGTCAATAGAGTGGTGGGGAAACACTTCATGCTGACAGTTACAGCTCTTATGAATATGCTGAGTCCAATTATAACTGTGTGGAATAAAGAAAACAGTATTTGGATTCTGTAAAACAATCTTTTTTGTCATATTTTGTCCCACTAAGGTTTGCACGAGAAATAGAACATGACTGTGTGGTGAATGGTCAGCAACTTCCTAAAGGAGCAATACTGGATATCCCTGCAGGCTTCCTCCATTATGACCCAGAACACTGGCCCGAGCCTGAGAAGTTCATTCCTGAGAGGTGCTTCAGTTCTGTCTGAAACGAGTAAAAAGACTGACTTGTGTTTACTGAAATAATGACTGGGTGCCGAAAATTCACATTTAAAAATAGCACCAATTGAAGTTAACTTTGAAGTGAGTCACAGCCATTCAAATGTTGACTTATTAACACGAATAACAGCTGTATATTAACAACATACACATGGAATATTTTTCTGTACAGTGGTACAAATACAATTGTTAAGGTGTGGTAAACACTTTTGTGTAGTGACATTATAACACGTGCAACCCACAAATACAACCTCAATTCAAATGTTGGGACACAGTGTAAAATGTAAATTAAAACAATGCGTTTACAAATCTTATAAACATATATTTCATTCACAATAGGACAAGACTGAAAACATTTAAACTGAGACATTTTATTATTTCATGAAACAACATTTGCTCTTGTTGTTTTTGTTGGCAGCTTTGAAGTTGTGACACTGCGATATTTACCAGTTAGTAGTATGCCCTCTTCTTAACAACAGTCTGAGGAGACCAGCTGCTGGACCTTTGGGAGAAGAATGTTGTCTCATTCTTGTCTGATACTGTATAAGACCCTCGATGCTCAACAGTCTTAGGACTTCTTTTTTGCACTTTGCACTTTCATGATGTGCTAAATGTTTTCAGTTGGTAAAAGGTGCAGACTGCAGACAGGCCAGTTCAGCATCTGGATTTGTTGTTTGTAAATCAATGCATTCTGTTTTCTTTACACACTGTAAAAGATTTTTGGAACTGGGACTGAAGCATGCATGGAATTTCCTTTATTTTCCAATGCTTTTCATTCTTCTTTAAAAAAAAAACTTGCTGTTGTTTTCCAGGTTTACACCAGAGGCCAAGGCCGCTCGACATCCATTCGTATACCTACCATTTGGAGCTGGCCCTCGTAACTGTGTGGGAATGAGACTCGCCCAGCTTGAAATCAAAATGGCTTTAATGCATCTGTTCCACAACTTCAGCATAAAAGCCTGTTCTGATACTAAGGTAGGATGCAATAAGAGAAAACCCATACATTTTCATTAAAGTAATTCCTACACTGGATAACTGTAAGACTGTTGAATTTATAACTACAAGCATGTAATTCTACAACCACTGTTTACTGTGAATTACACTGAAAAAACTGAAAACATCAATATATTTGTATATTATGCCGTAAGGTAACCACCGGTAAGAAAACCTATCTTTAAATTTAGGTTTTAGTGGAAGCATGACCAAAAACTACTCTCACATGTCCTTTAATTGTTTTTTGCTTTAATGTCATATACAATTTTGGACTGTCAGTATTATCAGCTGCAAATAATGACTATGCTGGAGTTTATTGGACATTTGAAACTGCCATAAGCTGCAAATAGCCATGTAATCCTATGACTACTGGTTAGATACACATTTGTCAGATGCTTCCATTTTTAAGATATTTTTACACAAATATATGGAAGATGTTCTCTTTTTATCTTCAGGTCCCTCTTGAGTTGAAGTCATCCAGCACTCTTGGACCCAAAAATGGTGTTTTTGTGAAAATCACAAGAAGAGAACAAGGAGCTCATCTGTCATCAGCTGATTAAATCATTTACACCATACTGAAACATAACAATCTCTTACTGTATGTCCATCAGTTCAGTGGCACTTGTTTCATTTATAGTCAGGACTTGGTAGATGTTTGAAAAAATGCAACACTGAAATATTTAGACTTAAATATAATAAGGGATTGACTGATAATTAATGCAAATGTTTCTCAGGCACATATAAATTGTAATTTTGTGATTACAACTGTTTGAGAATGAGAGAAATGAAACATGACAATATATCTGATATTATTCTTTATTAAAGCACATACAAATAAAGTGGATGAAATCACTACTTTTTGCAAATCATAAAATACTAAATCTTTTTTGACAGCAAAGTTGATTTAATCTGGCACATTCTAAATTCTTTCAGGTGGATTGGTACACAGTGTCTACACACATTGGGCGCGAGCACTCTCTACAGACAATGAAAGGAATTGCAACATGCAGCATTTATATCATTCCCAATGCTGAGATTTTCAGTGCTGGTTGTAAACAGAATTGTGCAAATAATGAAAAGAACACATTTAGAAAAATTAGCAGTTTTTATATTCATGTGAAATTTTCTGTATTGAAATAAAAATCTGTCTATCAGTAAAAATAGGTGTAAAAACATCTATCTTGTACCATTTAGACAACCTTCATGACTCTTTAGAGACAAAACATCTGATCCAAATTTTCTCTACAGCATGACAAAATCAATACTGGTGATGTCTCAACCTGGTATTGCATGAAGAGGAAGAATCAACTGAGAAAATTTAACTTTGATGAAAAACTGTGGCAGGTTTTCCAAGGTGTTTTGAGGCTCTACTTGTGTAAAAAGGCTGTCAAACAGCCAGGAATGGCAAAGACAAGTTAAGCCTCCCGCTTTATAGCTGCAAAAAAGAAAATAATTTTATGAATATTTTGACATCTTCAGTTTAGTCTTTTTGTGTCACTTTATGTCACTTTTGATAGACGTTTTTTCTTGTCATCAAATAAAGCTCCTGTGTTGCATATTGTTCTCGCATCTTCTTTCTTCAAGAAGTAATTTTCTTTGGCTAGCGTAACATTACATGAGTTACATCAGGGTTAAAAACTGCAATACAGGTTCAGACAGTTGACTAAAGAAAAGCAAAGCTGAACTATGGACCCCTAAAAGTTTGTGCAATAGCAGCTCTTTAACTCATTACCTTTACCCTGCTCTGTCTCATTTATGGAGGTGGTGAGGCAATCCAAATCTGTAGTTACTATTTTATCTGTGGTTTAACATTTGTGTGCACAAAACAGAAGTGGATACAATAGGAACAGACATCTCTCCTCTTCAGGTGAGTTCTCAAGGCTACAAAAAAAGCTTCAGTAAGTAGAAAGTCTTGGAAGAAACTACACAACTGATCGGGGACAAAGCGGCTTGACAACATGGAATAGATGTATGGTCTTTGGCAGGTGTTTATTTCCCCAAAAGCCTGAATTTCTGCACAATACCTTTAAATGCTTTGTTCTAGTGAAAGTCATGACTAAAGTATTGAATAAAAATATTAGTATAACTAATTCTTTTTTGCTGTTTTTCTCTCCAGGGGCCTTTTTCTCCTATTAATGATTGAAAACTGAGAGAAGATTTTCCAACATGCAGGGTGCAGGTGACTTTCTAAATGTATTCAACACTGAGACCAGCAAAATATCTGTGACACTCTTCCTCATTTTTCTTGGTCTCCTCTACTGGTGAGTATGTCAATGATACACTTTTTTCAAGGGAAATAAGGACACGTAGATAATCTGCTAGTGCCATAAAACACATACATTGACATTTTATAGAGCAGGCAGTGCAAACGAATGCAACAATAACTCTAGACAGAATCCAGGTAAAGGTGAGCTCTGTTCTTTACTGCATTTGACACAAATTCTTTTCATTCAACCTACAAACAACACATTTCAACACTTTTTCCTGTAGGTATTCAGTCCATCCCTTCTCAGTCCTCTCACGATGTGGCATCAAACATCCGAAGCCAGTGCCTTTCTTTGGGAACTTATTCATGTTTCAGCAGGTAAGATACAGTGTAACAAAGGAAGACCAGAGTTACCTTCAATGTCTGCTTGATTTTGCATCAAACTGGGATGGTGTCCTTGTTCTCATATTTGTGTCATTATTGTCAGCTGACTGTTACATCGACTGTGTTTTTCAAATATTCTTTTCAGGGTTTTTTCAAACCTCTGAATGATCTTGTCAAAACATATGGTAAAGTATGTGGGTAAGTAAAAATACATCCTACAACAGCAACTACTGAAATAAGATTGTGAATATTTTGCTTCTATAAATAATCTACAGTTTGAGATGATACTTTACCCATCATGTTTTGTCTGGACTCATACTTCAGGTATTATTTGGGCCGGACACCAGTGATAGTGGTAGCAGACCCTGATATGCTCAGACAATTGCTGGTGAAGGACTTCAGCAACTTCCCTAACAGGAATGTAAGGAAATTATACAAAGCAAAGATGCAACATGTGTGTTTATTCCTGATTGTCACACAAGAGTTACTGAGGGGTTATTACAGATTGTTTTGCCTGTGCTCTCTTATCTCTCTGCAGAAATTTGTGTTTGCCAAAAAGCCTGTATCTGATTGCCTTCTCCAGTTAAGGAATGAACAGTGGAAACGAGTACGGAGTGTCCTGACCCCATCTTTCAGTGCTGCCAAGATGAAAGAAGTGAGAAAATAAAGTTCTCATTAAGTGAGATAAGATAAGATGAAATAAGATACATGACATCACATCTCATCTTCTGGTGCTTATCCGGGTTTGGGTCGCCAGTGCAACATTCTGAGACGGGAAGGCCAAATTTCTCACCCCAGTCACCTCTTCCAGCTCATCTGGGGGGACGTAGACCGGTAACTCGAGAGCTTCACTTTTATCCTAAGCTCTCTCTTCTCTCTTGCAAGCTACTCATGAACAACATCCCAAGATACTTAAATCCCTCCACCTGGGACAGTAACTTGTCCATGACCCAGAGTGGCCACTTCACTCTTTTCCAGCTGTGAACCATGGTCTTGGATTGGAGGTGCTAATTCTCATTCATGCTGCTTTGTACTCAGTCACGAACCGCTCCAGTGCAAACTGGAAGTCATCACCTAATGAAGCCAAAACGCTAAGATGAAATCCTGAGGCCACCAAAGTGGAAACCCCCCCACCACCTGGATACAACTAGATATTCTGTCCAGGAAACACCCAACACATCCAGGTTTTTGCTGCAGCCACTGCCTGAGCCGTGTTCCGCTTGGTCTATTGGCACCCAAGAGCTGTTCCTGGAGTCCTACAGGCTAGCCAAGCCTGACAGGCTTCCTTCTTCAGCTTGATACCTCCTTTTACCTCCGGTGTCCACCATTCGGTTTGTTTACCACCAAGGTACAAAACACCTTACAGTTGCAGCTCAGTGCAGCAGCCTCAGCTGTGGAGGTGCTGAACATGGTCTATTCAGACACCCTCACTACACGTTTGGGTGCACCAGGTTTGTCCAGCATCCTCCCTCCCCACCTGATCCAACTCACCACCAGGTGGTGATCAGTTGGCACTCGAGTGTCCAGAACATACAGCCACAGATCTGATGATACAATAATAAAATTGATTGAAATTTATGTTTGAACATGGTGGGAGGGGTGGACAGACGTGTGGCTATTTGCACAGGAACGCACACGGCTGGAGATCGCTATTCCCCCGCACTCATGGAGAAAAACATGCCTAGTGCTCCTCCGACTCGTGATACGGCAGGACTGTCGTAAAAGCATGTGACGTCATCACCGCAGCAAACAGTAAGAACAAAGTGGAACTTATCGGCAGAAATTAACATTGCACTTATAGCGATGCGATTGAAATATAAGGAGACTTTCGGACAGTAACTGAAGGTAAAATGCAGCTAAACAGTCCTGTTTTAAACCAGGCACTTCCACCTCCGCTCTGCTGCGTCTCAGCCAGCAGCGCTCTGGCAGCAACAGCACTAGAGCCAGAGCAGGGGAGAGTGGAGCTGGAACAAACCAAATGTTATGTCTCAACCAAGTACTGTATGCTTTTTATATTTTTAGCAGTGTGTCACACAAATAGCAAATATTGTCAAAAAAAGGAAGAAATCTTTGGGGGGTGCTTTGATTGGGCTAAAATCGCCCCTGGCATAACAGAATAACCACCCCAGCCTGCTGCCTCTCAGCGAGAGCAACTCCAGGCTGTAGTGATGGGAATTCTGGCTCTTTTTAGAGAGCCGGCTCTTTCGGCTCGACTCACTAAAAAGAGCCGGCTCTTTCAGCTCCCAACCGGCTCTTCAGGTTGTTTTGTTGCTTTAATTAATTTATTATTAACAATAATATAAAATTATGCACAAAAGGAATTACTAATGTAAAAAAAAGTGGTTTTATTTATATATGTTTATATATAAAAATATACAGTGACCCCTAGACACAAAACACATACAAACTCCAAAACACATTTCTAGCGTTAACTGAACTTCAAAACAGAGCTACCTAGATCACTTAAATTACACAATTGAAAGCATATGTGTATTGTTTGTGTATTTATACACAAGCATTCATATATGTTCATTTACCTGTTACTACCACACACCAAATCCGGTCGTTGGTACTTGCTGGCTTGTGTAGCCACGAGGTAACAAAAGCTCAACACTGGGCCTAGCATCCTGGAGCACTTCTGTTGTGTTTTGTACGTGTTTTGGAGTTTTTACGTGCTTCAGGGTTTGTACGTGTTTTGGAGTTTTTACGTGCTTCAGGGTTTGTACGTGTTTTGAAGTTTGTACGTGCTTTGTTTGTAGGGGCCACCGTAAATATACTTTTATTTATTCACTCCACATAAAATGTAATAAATAAATCATATAATACAAAAACCAACTAGTCACAGTTCAACTTTTAACTATTTACATTTTCAGCTTTTTCCTTTTAAACAAATTTAAAATGAAACAACACAAAACACTGCAAACCACAACACAATTAAATATAAATTAAAATATGAAAACAAAAAGAAGATGCATATTCTCTGTCATATGGGCCTGCATGAATAAACTTTCTGAATCCTTTATCATCCACAACTGAAAATAGTTGTGGATGATTACTATACCTTTCTAATGTGACGTTGTTGTCCCTGGCTCTCTTTCTCTCTCTCTCCCTCCCGCTCTGTTCCTGTGCTACTGAGTGTAACTACCGCCCCTCCCCCCTCTGCCCAGCGCAAAGCACAAGGCTTGCATGTGGAGTGAAGCGGGAAAAAAGTGCGACAGAGGGTGGGAGAAAGAAAAAGAAAAAACCACGGCTCGCAATAAGGAGCTGGCTCGCGTCGTTCACGTCAAAGATCCGGCTCTAAGAGCCATTTCGTTCGCGACCAACACATCACTACCAGGCTGGAGCCCAGCCCCTCTCCGGGAGGCTGGTTCTAGGGTCCAAGTCATGCTTTGAGGTGAGCCCAACTATATATAGCCGGTATCATTCAATCTCAAGCACTAGCTCAGGCTCTTTCCACAACAGAGGGGTGACATTCCATGTCCCAATACCCTGCGCCCAGCCGTGCCCCATAGGCTAAGGCATGGAACCCCACGCACCCTCTACAGGCATGACTCCAGGGTGGTGTCCCAGTAACCCTATGAAGCGCAGGGTAAACTGTTCCCTTGTTTTTGCACTGACAATAGTTGTCTGAATCGCCCTTCGTCTGGTTCCTCACCCAGGACCAATTTGACATGGGAGACCCTACCAGATTGCAAAAGCCTTCCGACAACATAGGATCCCAACTGACAACTTAGATTCCTGGAACTATGTTGTATGTGTAATTTAAGTAGCTGTGGTAGTGGTGTTTATGGAATTACATGGACCTGTCCCCCATTTTTTATGTTTATGGACCCATTATGATTCACTGAAGTGTTTATAGGACTATTTTGCATCTGTCATTATCTCTCCATTTGAGTGTAGATGGTTCCGCTCATCAACACAGCCATTGATACCCTGATGAAGAATTTGCATGTCTACGCTGAGTCAGGAGAGGCCTTTGATATCCACAGGTAAATACATAAACAATGATGAAAGCCTGAAAGCAGTTTGTCTACTTTACTTCTACTGTATTTTTTCTTTCACTGTTCATATTTCTAAAATTTGATGCTATTTTGCAGATACTTTGGCTACTTTACCATGGATGTTATTGCCAGTGTGGCATTTGCAACTCAGGTGGACTCGCAGAATAACCCAGATGACCCACTTGTCCAACACGCTCAGATGGCCTTCACCAATGATTTCTTCAAGTCTGTCTTGTTACTTTTCTGTGAGTCATTATTATAACACAATTGAATTTCAGATATTTATGTAGGACATTAAAAGAGAAAGTTGATCACAAAGAATTGTAAGAAAGAATTTCAGAAAGGTTAAATAGATGTAGAATATGCCAAAGAAGTATTTAAGCATTTTTGTTGATATACCTGTGTATGCAGTTCTCTGCAGATTTGTGTGTTTCTGTCTTTAGTTGCTTTTCCCTCCATCATGGCTCCTCTGTCGAGGTTCATACCCAACAAAAGACGAGACAAGATGAGTCATTTCTTCATTAACAGCATTCACAAAATCATCAAACAGAGAGAGGAGCAGCCTCCTGAGCAGGTGAATCTCAGACTTTCCTAAATCTGTGTGTGGCTTTGAAACTGTCATTTTCCTATCTTTCTTATTTATTTCTTTTACACGTAGAGACGTAGAGACTTCCTTCAGCTGATGTTAGATGCTCGAACCACCGAAGAGTGTGTGTCATTGGAGCGCTTTGACACTTCAAATGACACCGATGAGATCAGTGACAACAACCAGCAGACCCAGTCTTCAGGCAAAGTTCAGGAAAATGACCTTCCTCATTCACAGGAGCCGTCTGTCAGGCGTCCACAGAAAAAGATGATGACTGAGGATGAGATTGTTGGTCAGGCTTTCATCTTCCTCCTGGCAGGCTATGAAACCAGTAGCAGCACTCTGGCGTTCACCTGCTACCTCTTGGCCCTCCACCCTGAATGTCAACTCAAAGTACAGAAAGAGGTGGATGACTTCTACACTAGACATGTGAGTGTTTTACAGTTGGTTCTGATCTATTTTGATTCATGCAGTTGTGGACAGTCATTGATTGTCATGCTGTTTGCTTTGTAGGACTCACCTGATTACACAAATGTGCAGGAGCTGAAGTATTTGGACATGGTTATATGTGAAGCATTACGCCTCTACCCTCCTGTATTCAGGTAAAGAAGGATGTCAATTGGGGCTACAGTGGGGTAGCTTTGGTACCCTGTGATATAGGAAGATTTTCAGCATTAATGCTATCATCCGGAAAACCTTTCTTCTTCTTCTTCTTCTTCTTCTTCTTCTTCTTCTTCGTCTTCTTCGTCTTCTTCTTCTTCTTCTTCTTCTTCTTCTTCTTCTTCTTCTTCTTCTTATTATTATTATTATTATTATTATTATTATTATTATTATCATCATCATCATTACTGTTGAAAGATCAAAGATGGGTTCAGCAATGCAGATGTTTTCTGATCTTTTGACATTTGGGTTAAGCTCTGTTCACATTTGGATCCAGATGCATTAAAAATGCTTTTGTAGCTATCATTACGCTTAAACTCTTCTTCTTTGAATGGAGCTATGTACAGAAATAGAGAGCAGGGGAGGCAAGAGAGGCAATGGCAACTATAACTGACAGCAAAAAGCAATAGAGCTTAAAAGTCCAAATAAATTAAGGAAATAACAGTTCTGATAATGATGTTAAATTTATTTTCACTGTTTTCCCCCTTTAGTTTCTCTGGGGGTGGCAGTGGTCAGGGAATTACATAACGTAATAAAGTAAATAAATAAAGTAAATAAAGTTACAGCTCTTCTGTCGATACTGTGTGTGACCATTCTGTAACTGTGTAATTTTGAAATTTTCCCACTAAGGTTTGCACGAGAAATAGATCATGACTGTGTGGTGAATGGTCAGCAACTTCCTAAAGGAGCAAAACTGGAGATCCCTGCAGGCTTCCTCCATTATGACCCAGAACACTGGCCCGAGCCTGAGAAGTTCATTCCTGAGAGGTGCTTCAGTTCTGTCTGAAACGAGTAAAGAGACTGACTTATGACTGCAGTCAAATGTTGACTTATTAACATGATTTCAGCTGTATATTAACAACATATTAAATATTTTTCTGTACAGTGGTACAAATACATTTTTTGGGTGTGGTAAACACTTTTGTGTAGTGAAATTATCACATCTGCAACCCACAAATACAATCTCAATTCAAAAAGTTGGGACACAGTGTAAAATATAAATAAAAACAATGCATTTATTTACAAATCTTATAAACCCATAATTTATTCAAAATAGAACATTTAAACTGAGATATAGCTTGATTTTGAATTTGTTGGGAGTTGGCACATTGCAGTGTCAGTAGTTAGTAGTATCAGTTAGTAGTATCTCCTCTTTTTAACAACAGTCTGGAAACTGAAGAGACCAGTTGCTGGACTTGGAGTTGCTGGACTTGGATTGAGAGTTTTGCTTTCATGCTCTGCTCTTTCTTTACCACAACGAACCAATGCAGCCTCCACATCTCTTCAGCAGTGGCCCCAATCTGTCTGTCAATTTCCCACTCCATTTTTCCCTCACTTCTGAGGGTCTTCATAAGACCCTCAGATACTTAAACCCCTGCACTTGGGGTAGCAACTCGTCCCTGAAAAGAGTAGGCACTCCACCCTTTTCAGCTAAGAACCATGGCCTCCACCTTGGAGTTGTGATTCTCGTTCTTGCCACTTCATACTCGGCTGGAAACCGCTCCAGTGAGTGCTGGAGACAACCACCAGATGAAGCCAAGAGACCCACATCACCTGCAAATAGCAACGAGGAGATTCAAAGGTCACCAAAATGGGAACTTTCTGTCACATGGCTATGCCTAGAAATTCTTTCCATAAAAACTATGAACAGAACTGTATCATGTAATATTTTTCATGTAGTTAAATATCTCAGTTCAAGATAACAGTAGTTTTATGCCATTGTATAAAGTAGCAAGAGAAATTTGTCTCATTAAGAATGTGGTCTTTTAGTTTCCAATGCTTTTCATTCAACTTTAAAAACAACAACTTGCTGTTGATCCCCAGGTTTACACCAGAGGCCAAGGCCAGTCGACATCCATTCGTATACCTACCATTTGGGGCTGGCCCCCGTAACTGTGTGGGAATGAAGCTCGCCCAGCTTGAAATCAAACTGGCTTTAATGCATCTGTTCCACAACTTCAACATCACTGCCTGCTCTAAGACTGAGGTACGTTTGACTTAGAGCTGCTCAGCAAATCTCATGAATGTTCATTAACAGCCAGTCCTGAAAAAAGATGTTTGTTTTATCGAGGGCACTCTTTTTTTCAGGTTCCTCTTGAGTTGAAGTCGTTAAGCACTCTTGGTCCTAAAAATGGTGTTTGTGTGAAAATTTCCAGAAGGAGCAAGTGAGATTGTCTGCTGACTTCTCTATCGAATGACTGGATCATTTTCACCAGACTGCAAAATAAGTTCAACTGTCTTAGTTCAAGTTAATCCAGTACTTGGGAGATGCTTGAAAAATCACAACATTGAAATATTTTAGATTTGAATGTACTAAATATAATAAGGGATTTACTGCAGATTCATTCAAATGTTTTAGAAAATATTAACTATAATTTTGTGACTGGAACAGTTTGACAATTTACATATCAAATGGAAGGAATGCCACATGAGAAAATATTTCACAAGAAGATTTTCTGTATTGATGCACATATATAAATAGACACTTTATTGCAGTTTTTATGCGCTTGTTGTTTAAAACATTGAATGAATCATTTTTTACAGGAAAGTTGATCCGATTAATCACTCACTGTCTCTTTCAAACAGTGTGAGGAATTGTGACCGGCAGCCTTATGATTTCAGTCCTGATTTTGAGGTTTTCAGTGCTGTCTGTCAGCAAAATAGCACAAATAATCAAATGGCTCCATTCCATGATATTTGGCAAAAAGATGGAGCATATGTAAAGGAGGCACATGCTAATTTTGCCACATTAAATCCCGACTGTTATTCACCTGCTTCATCTACTTTTTGTGCAAACGTTGCAAATCAATGGTTTATCCTTAAATTTTAATGGTCAGTGTACTTGATCTGACACCAGTTGAGTTACAAACCACCAGAACACACAAGAAATGAAAATCCTCTGTGTCCCAGTCTAAAGGAGAATTACGCTATATTTGCTGTTACCTGAAATTAAACCCACATTCTGTATATGGTGATCTATCTGTACCAAATACCCAGAAACGACAGGAAAAGACTCTGTCCAGTACCATCCAGAAAAAAAATCATTGAATATTTTAAATATATTCTGTAAAAGTAACAATGTTATGTTTGGTATTATCATCTTGTGCTTCCGTACGAAATAATTGGGCATGTTTAATATAACAATGTCACAAATGTCTCTCTGGGAAACGCAAGAAGAGCCTTTCCACTCCGGTGCAGATGGGGGCAGTAGACGACGCAGCTTCCTGTGGAGTGACGAGCTGTTGTCAAAAAGAGGAAGACGTGACTATTATATTTACAAAACCTGGGCGAAGGACGAAGAAGGTGAGGTGAGTGTGTGTTTCCCATATGCTGAATGTTGCGGTGTTAATATTATAAAGACACAAGTAATAGAAACATGTTAGTGATATTAGTTAGATGGAAACCTTTATTTCATCAGCAAACTAACCTAGCATCACATGAGTAAATGAGTTGTGCGCCACAGGTAAGGACCGTTAGTAAATGAGAGAAAAAGGGTAGGTTAGGTTTCACTTGTTCAGTGGTTAGTGGTCCCTACAGATCCAGCTAAACTAGTGATGGGCACATGAAGCTTCATGAAGCACTGAAGCTTTTCATCCAATTGGTTCACCCCAGCGCAAAGCGTCTTGAAGCTTCATTTGCTCCAGTAGGACATGTACTGGACGTAAAAATATTAGTTGGCATGAATTTGAAGAGTGTGGCCTTTTGCACACAGCCTGTAAATGTCAACAACAAAAGGAGTGTGTAAAACATGTATCAATCAATCAATCAAACTTTATTTATAAGGCACTTTTCATACAAAGATGTAGCACAAAGTGCTTTACGTGGTTAAAAGCAGCCTACCCCGCCCTCCAACTCACTCCCCACACTTTCATTAACATAAACGATCATGGATACCCCCCCACGCGCGCGCGCGCACACACACACACACACACACACACACACACACACACACACACACACACACACTTACTTAAAGAGTAAAATTGGGCTGGGCACACATGAGCCAGGTGAGGAAACACTATCACAGGGAGCCGTCTGCACCGGGAGCCGGTCACAGACCGCAGCCTCCAGGCTGGGCACACAGCAGGAGGGAGGCAAAGAAGCCCCCCAGCCAGGCTGAGAAGAGCCCCAGTAGCCACGGTCGATCACAGCCCCGGTGCAGAGAGCGCCCTCCGAGGAAACACTGGAGATATGACCTAATAAGAGTATATACAGAATAAAAAAATAAATAAGAATGGGATACAATATAAATATAAATAGAGTAAGAAGGTAAAAAATGAATAAGAATAAAATCAATAAATATTAGGTAAAACCTCAATTAATAATATAAATAGAATAACAGGATAGAATAAATAAGCATAAAATAGATAAACGTTAAGTAAAAGCTAAATTAAAAAGGTGGGTCTTGAGCCTGTTCTTAAAAACATGTACGTTCTCTGCGGCCCTGAGCTCCTCCGGCAGGTTGTTCCACAGACGAGGACCATACCACTGAAACGCTGCCTCTCCGTGAGTATGTGTCCTGACTTTAGGGACAATCAAAAGGCCAGTACCAGAGGACCTCAGGGTCCGCGAGGGTTCATATGGTAAAAGCAAATCTGAGAGATAAGAAGGCCCAAGACCATTAAGACATTTAAAAACCAATAAAATAACTTTAAAAGTATATTGTAGTGATGGCAGTATACTGTGTATATTTATACTGGCAGTATGGAAAATGATCATTTGGAAATGCTTAAAATGGAAATGATCATTTACTGTGAGGTGAGGTGTGGTTGGGGTGTGGACAGTAGTTGTGCTTTTGTAACGTTGAGGTATGGACAGCTACAGACTGAGGCCTCAGACCTGCCTGTTCACATTTTATTCAGTAAAAACTACATTTTCACTGCTTTTATGGCCTTTTTAGTGGGGAGAACATAGCTGGGATTTAATGGTTTAACAAATCTTTTAAATCCTTTGTCCTCCACAATGCTAAATGGCTGTGAGTCCTCAATCACCATGCTAACCAGGTCTTCATCTATTTGAGATTGTTCTCCTGAGGAAAGACAATAAAGACAAAGCACAAATATAAATATCACACACGTAACTTATAACAGTTGTATAATATTGTTATATCATTTAGTAACATTACTGCATGCTATATTATCATGGCATTTGATGGCTCACCTGGTCTTGCTCCACAATCGGTGTTCCCCTTATTCTCATGCAAAGCTCTGTAGTGCCTAAGCATGGATGAGGTGTTGTTGTTATATCCCAGCTCCCTGGCACATAGCAAACACTTCACCTTGTACAAAAGTCAAGACAGCTCAACATAAATTGTATTGCACCATCAGTATTATGAAAATATATCTTCTGTAGAAATTTACATACCTTGTTGGGAGGAATAAAATCAAAATGTTCCCACACAGGGGAGGACATCCTCCTCTTCTTAGCTGGCTCCATTCTCTCCTGACTTTCTCTCCTCACTCTCATAAACCTCCAAACTGTCTCCAAACTCTCACTAACCGCAACTCTCCATCAAACACCCACATTTTGAATGAAGTCTGAGGGGTTTATATCGCTGTCATATCTCGCGGCAAAGTTCGAACCGCTTCATGAACCAGTCACGTGGTACAGCCGGGCAGCGAGGCTTCGGAAGTCATCATTTTCAGCTCCTCCCATAAATGAAGCAAGCCTCGATACGCGCATCGCGGAAATGCCCCCTCAATTACTCGACACAAGCTTTGAAGCCTCGATACAGAACGTCACATCACTAATCTAAAGTATTTATATAAAATGACTTTTACCTTGCTATATAACACTTCTGGTTTCTCTGCTGTGGTGATTTCCGACGTTTCTGTCTGTTTTTATGTCTTATAACTTTACTTCAGTTGGTAAATACACTGTAGGCAAAAAGATTTATGAAGGGGGTATATAATTCTTTTGTTTTAAAGACCTGTTTTGCAAGTATTTTTATGGCTTCCTGTTTTTGTACGTGCATTATATTCAATCTAGTTCTTTTTGTTAACTTAAACCCTTTTTCTTGTTTTTCTGCGCAGGAACTTTCATCTCAGTCTGAGGATAGAAAACAAGATTTTCCAACATGCAGGCTGCAGGTGACTTTTTAAACATGTTCAACATTGAGGTCAGCAGAATATCTGTGACACTCAGCCTCTTCCTCATTTTCCTCGGTCTCCTTTACTGGTGAGTGAACAAATGTTCAGTATTTGTTTATTTATGATGGACAGTCGGACAGTTTTTGGATAATGACACATTTTATGTCAGTTTTCTCTGTACTCCACCACACTTAGCTGGAAATAAAACCTTAGTATGTTTATTTGTGACATATTGTTCTGCTGTGAAAATACAGCAATATATACTATATGTTACATATTATGTATATCCACAGTCACCCATTTTCATAGACTCAAAGGTAATTGGACAATTGACTGATAGGCAGGGGAGGCCTGTTCCCACATTATTTCATGGCAAACTAAGCACTTAAAAGGAGTTAATTATTGAACTTACATTTTGGTCGCTGTTCACATGAACTCTCAATATGAGATGTCAGTGAAGGAAAAAGAAAGTATCATTAGGATAAAAAAATAAAAATAAAACTATCTAAGAGTTAATGAGCTTGATGTTTAATCCTTTCATTCACAACACATCATCACATTTCTGCACTTTTGCCTGTAGGTATTCAGTCCGTCCCTTCTCAGTCCTCTCACGATATGGCATCAAACATCCAAAGCCAGTGCCTTTCTTTGGCAACTTATTCATGTTTCAGCAGGTAAGATACAGTGTAACAAAGGAAGACCAGAGTTACCTTCAACATCTGCTTCATTTTGTGTCAAACTGGGATGGTTTAAAGCAGCGGTCCCCAACCCCTGGGCCTCGGACCGGTACCGGTCCGTGAGTCGTTTGGTACCGGGCCGCGAGAGTTGAGGCTCAGGTGTGAAATGTGTGGTTTTCAGGGTTTTTATTGGTTTTCAGCGTTATTTTGTTATCGTTTTTATCGTTAACTCGGTTTCCCTGGGTCTTTTCATGTGTGTTATGAATAAATCTTCTTTTTTTCGGTACCGGTACTGGTTTTTAGGGGTGCAACGATACTCGTATCGATATTGAACCGTTCGATACAGTGCTTTCGGTTCGGTACGCATATGTATCGAACAATACAAAATTTGTAATTTATTTGATCAACTTTCCTTCTGACGATGATGTCTGTGTTGAGCGCTCAGTGAATCTGCGTTCGACTACTCCGCCTAGGCTGCACTGTCAAGCGCAGATCCACTGAGTGTTCAACACAGACAGCATCGTCAGAAGGAAGAGCGCAGGGCAAGCTAGCGAGACAGAAGTTAAGCTCTCCTTGCAACATGGCAAATTGAACCTCCCCCACCCTCATTCAGATCTGGCGTTTGGAATTATTTTGGTTTTCATGTGACGTATGACCCTGAAGGTAAGCGCGTCATGGACTAAAGTAAAACAGTATGTTGGATGTGCCACGCAATGCTCAATTACATGGGTGGGAACTAGTGTGTTAGCGCAGTTAGCTCGTTAACGTGTTGGCTGTCTAGCCCCACGCAGGGGTAGCTCGTTAACGGAGATTTGCCTTGTTGTGGCGTTAACGTCATTTCAACGAGATTAACGCTGACAGCACTGGTGGGAACACAACGAATATGACTGCACATTTACGCCGACATCATCCTAGTGCAAAGACAAGTGGAAGCAGACAAAAACAACAAGCATGCTACAAACTTTACCCGAGTCATTTAGACAGCCGTTAGCACAGGATTCTCCTTATGGGGACCTGATATGTTTAATATTGTGGCGAGCTCAGACAACGAGGAGACGGAGGTATCGTTTGGTCTTGCTTCCCGTGAGCTAGCCAGGGAGCACAGCCGTTTATTGACATCTGCAGAAGAACACTGCCGCTATGGAACGCCAGGACTGCCATAATGAATTAATTAAATACACCATTAAATAATTAATTAAATGTGGCAATAATTAATTAAAATTGGAATTAATTAATTAAATAAATAGTTATGACACATGTAATTAATTAATTATTGACACATTTAATTAATTATTTATGTATTTCACATTTTAATTAATTATTGACACATTTAATTAATCATTGACACATTTAATTAATTATTTAATGATATATTTATTTATTTCATTTTGGCAGTCCTGACGCCTGGCTCTCGTCATGAAATAATTTTATCTGTCAGCCTCACCCATCAAACTCAGGGGGCGGGGTTAACGCTGCCCATGCAGCTTCTCTAACATTTGATTGGTTGCCGTGCAAAGTAAGTCAAAACAGGTCGATCCTAGATAATCGATTGCTTGTGTAGACTTGGGGCAGCCAGGTATCCCAGAATGCAGATCAAATCACAGGCAGCAATGGTGGTGGTGTAGTTTTAAAATACCCCGTTTTTCTGTCACCAGCTACACTTTTAACAGTGTTTTAGCCGCGAATGTCGCGACGTATGTCTGGTCAGGTTGTCAACATAGAACATTTTTGCAAAAGTGCTCAGATGTTTTCAGAGATTTCACTAGCTCTGCTAACAATTAGCATGCAGAGTGCACCGAGGGGGTACGTTAACCAGTTTGTTTACATATTCCACTCTCCGTGTTCCACATGTTACATTCGCAGATTCTCATTTTCACCGAACGATCGTCTCTTTCCGCCTGGTCTTGTGTCTCTGTGCTTCTGTAACATAAAGAATGAGCTGACATTTTTCTCACGAAACCAGCGATCAGCTTAACAGACCCTCAGTTTACCTGCATGCATCCTCCTCCTCCTCATCTGTCAGCTGTTTAACACCTGCTGCTAATTCAAGAAACACGCCTACGTTACCTGGTGATAGTCACAGTTTAACTGGGCAGCCGGTGCTCGATATAAAGCAATGTCAGCGCATTTTTCTGCACAAGATAAGTAAATATAGTGTTTTCCCCGAGCGCAGAGCTGCTGGAGCTTGTTTCCTTACAGAGCACTTTATAGGCGAACAGCTTCATCAGCGGCTGATGTCCAATCACCGGCACACAGCTTTGAAACCTCACCTTAGTTTTAGCTCTCAGTGGTTAAACGCTGGACTTCATTCACTCAGGTTCTGTCTGTCGGGTCACGTTTACTTCGCTGTTTTATTTACAACTGAGCAAATCGGTTTGGCTGAGGTTAAAGTTACGTTTCATAACTGCATAGTTTCACTGACGTTTAATGGTTCACTGGCACATGTGTTAGACTGAACTATCATCTAAATATCATCTGTTTTTTAATAGTTATTCAACTGTATTCTAAGCACCAGCTGTCTGTTAGAATGTGATTTTTTTTCTCTCTCTGTTGGCAGACGTATAAAAATGCGCAGGAAAATCTGACGTGCATGGCAAACTTCACCGACAATATTTAGGGAGGAATAAACACACATCAAACATAAATGAACCATTTGCCTGTCTCCATAATTGAGAGCATTTTCTCTTCTTATGTCAACACTCTCTCTCTCTCTCTCTCTTTTTTTTTTTTTCGGTCATGTTATGTTTACCTGTCAAAGGCTTGTTACAAACTATGAAACACATCGTGCAGACTTCTGGATGTTAGAAGAAAACTAATACCGCTCATGAATGAGACTAAAGGCAGGAAGGTGTCCTTTAAAACTAAACATGTTAATAGGACCTCCCTATTATATCATAGTTATGATATAGCACGTGTATTCAGTAATAGCCTGCTGAGGCCACTATACGTGCTGGCCTCATATCAAATGTGAAGGCAGACTGAGTCTATGTTTGACGTTTTTTATATCTAATCTTCCTTTTCAAACATTTAAACAGGTCACGCTGATTACTGAACAAAAACCCAAAGATCAGATGTTAAACAGATTTATTTGCTCTCTCTCCTCCTTAAAAATGTTTTTAATGTTAGTTATAATTCAGAATTGGCGACTGAAACACGTAGGACACATAAGAACATCAGGAAATAAAACACCGATAAATATAACCTCAGTAAAAGAAGTCAGTGGGGGTTACTACAGCTGTGTACCGGGGCCTGCGCTTTGTCGGTGGGATTGCTTGCGAGGCGAGCGGGTCTATCCCACGCTTTGCCGTGAGACTGGGCAGACATCTCCGAAATCATCGAAACACTTTTGCAAAGAGGCTGTATCTTGACAAACCGACCAGACACATGAAGATTAAACCACTACATTCTCGGCTAAAAAAATATTAAAACGGTATTGGTGACACACAAACAGGGTTTTCAAAGCTCAGTTCTGTTAGCTTCCACATGCCGGTTGTTGTGTGCTAGAAACAATGGCCACCAGGCCAAAGCAATGGTTTTGACTCGATCAGCGTTAACCCCGCCCCCTGAGTTTGATGGGTGAGGCTGACAGATAAAATTATTTCATGATGAGAGCCAGGCGCCAGGACTGCCAAAATGAAATAAATAAATATATCATTAAATAATTAATTAAATGTGTCAATAATTAATTAAAATGTGAAATACATAATTAATTAAAATGTGAAATACATAAATAATTAATTAAATGTGTCAATAATTAATTAATTACATGTGTCATAACTATTTATTTAATTAATTAATTCCAATTTTAATTAATTATTGCCACATTTAATTAATTATTTAATGGTGTATTTAATTAATTCATTATGGCAGTCCTGGCGTTCCATATGCCGCTAGCTAACTGCTCAGCGCGGCAACCGCACAGCAACAACAACACACAGAGCGCCCTCTGACCCCGGAAGGACACACCGTCGCAGCGAGAGGGCGTCACCCGTCACTATGGCAACATAAACAAAATATAACTGTACAAACAGAACCCCGAACAGCCCTGACCCGCTACATAGCCTCCCACCTAAGGGGTCAGTCGTCCCCGACGACCCCATTGCCCCACACAAAGTCCTGCAAATGTCCAGGTGCCTTCTTTTGGCGCACCGGCCGGTCACGACCGGCGGGGGAAAAGTCACTCGGGTCAGAACATGGGTGCCACCATCATCCCACTTCTGACACCAATGTGGCGAGCTCAGACAAGGAGGAGACGGAGGTGTCGTTTGGTCTTGCTTCCCGTGAGCTAGCCAGGGAGCACAGCCGTTTATTGACATCTGCAGAAGAACACTGCCGCTGGAGGGCGTTCCAAGATGGCCGAGTAAGTACATGCTTACTGCCGAGCTTAGCAAATGTAACCTTATAATACGGTAGCAACACTGTGTCAACTCAGACCTTAGAAGCTTTTACGGTATTTAAGCCAGAAAAGGACTGATTTTGATCAATTAAGAGATAAAATGTCACAGCATGACAATAAAAGACCCTCGTCTAGCTCCAAGACGAAGCTACTGCTAAAGGCTAATGCTAGCCAAACAACCGGGTCGGTGAACCCACTGCTTGACAACTGCCATGACTATACGGCTCTTTCACTACCTCTCCCAATAACTGAGGACGTAATGGACGAGTTTCCATCTCTACCCGTCTCACCCAGCCAGTCTCCGGCGCCAAAGAAAGCGATGCATTCAAAGGGAGATAGCGTGGATATTGTTGAAACTCTATCAAAACTAATAAACGAAAGAATGGATAACCTTGCACTACAGATTGACGGGATCAGAAAAACTGTGGTCTTTGCATGCGAAGAGATAAACGATGTCAAATGCAGAGTGGGCACATTGGAGCAGAAAATCTCCAAAGAGGAAGAGCGTATGGATAAAAACCAGCAAAGAATCACAGATCTCGAGCGATATTCCAGACGGTGGAACCTCAGGCTGTTTGGTGTCAAAGAAGAACAACAGGAG